TTAGTCGTCAGGAAGCTAAACCCAACATTATAGTAGAACCGTGCAGTTATGGTCACGATTACAGTAAGCACTGAAAGTCACTCTTTCCTCCAAAGAGGCACATTACAACAAAAAATTCAGTTGTCACAAAATATGACTTGTAACATGTTGGCTTACCAGAAGAAAGAATACAGTATGATCATACAAAATTTACGCAAAAGTGTTAGTGTTTTAAGTTTTTGGTTCAGTGTACGGTTCTTGAATGAAAACGTGTCATTACATGTAATGTTTGTTGAGTAATATTTGAATCATAAATTTCTACATCAGCACTCACTATGAGGATTTACGATAATTCAACCGTTCTAACCGGGTTGGTAGAAATCACCATAGAAACAATTGTCCCAATAATTGTAACCATAGCAAAATCTATCAACTCATGTAAGCCAAAAATTTGAAAGTTCATTTGAATACATAGCATCAAACATACTGAATACTAATATGATTGATTTTACAACGTCCAATAACATTAATTCATTTAGGAGAACTATGAAGAAGAAGCTGTTATGTTTGCAGTCACAACAAATGTCTGTATAAGAAATATTTATTTATTTTTAAGAACATTGTATAATTATAGCACTCTAATTAATTTACACTTTTTCGACCTCTTAGGGCGAGATTGCAAACCGGCTTGCCGATATCTTGTCCCTTTAAATAGAATATTGTATTTTAGTGATTATTTTAGTTTGGAAGCTCTCTTTTTTGTTTTATATTCTATTTAATAAATCTCTATTATTATTGTCGGTGTTTCTTGTGAGAACTCAGGTCTAGCCTGGTTAACTAATCGCACGGATTAAAATCAAGTAACGATTAGTGTCTGTGTCTGTGTCTAGTGAAGTTATGTAGGGTTCTAAAGAAAAATAAAAATTAAAAAATAAAATAAATATTCGCACACTCACATTGGAAATCTAGAGATAGTATGTAATTCATACTTACCAACATAGCTATTAATGGCCACAATAGTCAACGCTATCAGGAAAGAAGAAAACAAAACAAAAATATCATTATAATTCCTGTAATTTTATTAAATAGAGTTTATTGTGTAAGTGTTTCTTTGGCTTTGCGTTTGGGTTGAATACGAGTGGGTTGTGAAACGTGGTGTGTTTATGTGAAGAAGGAGTTTTGTGTTTTTTAATTGTATTTATGGTGTTTCTATGTTCCTGAGGTCGTATTTGTGAGGTTGTTTGGGTTTTTGGTGGAGATATTGCAGTATTTTGTGAGCCTGTGGTGCTGTTAAGGTTTTTGCGCTTCGGTTGTATACGAGTGGGTTGTGACAATGTGGTGTGTTTCTGTGAAGAAGGAGTTATGTGTTTTTTAAGTGTGCTAGGGCGTATAACTTTATTGGGTGGACCTGTCTTTGTAGTGCAAGTTGCGTTACTTGTATTTGTGGTGTTTCTTTGTTCTTGAGGTTGTATTTGTGTGGTTGCTTGGGTTTTTGGTGGAGATATTACAGTATGTTGTGAGCATGTAGTTCTGTTAAGGTTTTCGCGTTTCGGTTGAATACGAGTGGGTTGTGATAACGTGGTGTGTTTATGTGAAGAAGGAGTTTTGTGTTTTTTAATTGTGCTAGGACGTGTAACTTTATTGGGTGGACCTGTCTTTGTAGTGCATGTTGCGTTACTTGTATTTATGGTGTTTCTTTGTTCTTGAGGTTGTATTTGTGTGGTTGCTTGGGTTTTTGGTGGAGATATTGCAGTATTTTGTGAGCTAGTAGTGCTGTCACGGTTTTTGCGTTTGGGTTGTATACGAGTGGGTTGTTTCTGAGAAGAAGGAGTATTGCGTTTTTTAACTGTGCTAGGACGTGTAACTTTATTCAGTGGACCTGTCTTTGTGGTACATGTTGCCTTACTTGTATTTATGGTGTTTCTTTGTTCTTGAGGTTGTATTTGTGTGGTTGCTTGGGTTTTTGGTGGAGATATTACAGTATGTTGTGAGCGTGTAGTTCTGTTAAGGTTTTCGCGTTTCGGTTGAATACGAGTGGGTTGTGATAACGTGGTGTGTTTATGTGAATGTGTTTATTATTATTATTATTATTATTATGTTAAACCGGTTGAATTATCGTAAACCCCCTTTATAACTAGCGAGTGCGTCTTACGGAACGAAGCAGGACATTTGGGTTCCGCCGTTACGGTCCTTGCCGTTTCGGTCCTGGCCATTTCGATCCCGGTCATTGCGGTCCCTGCACTAACGAACTATTTCCTCTCCTAAAACGCAGTTTAAAAATTGCATTCTCTGATTAGTCGAGAACTGAGTACTTCAAATTGGGCTTGTTCTTTGGTGGGACCTATATTTCGTGTAGTATAAAAACAGTCACAGATATCCGCCTACTGCAAGATTTATGTCTTTTTGTTTGCATGGGCTAGGTAGAAGTGAACGTATAATAGCATAATTTGTGTACTCCTCACAGGTGACCAGTTTTGCAGTGGGCGGCTACTTGCGATGCTTGACGTGACTGTTTTTATACTAAAGAGAGAAATAGTTCCTTAATGTTAAAGTTAGCAAACGTCAATGTAATTGATAATGAAATTGGAACTATTTTACACAACATGGTTTCAGAAAGAATTGCCGACAAATCTCCTCAGGAAAATACTTAGGTACATGTTTCGGCAGAGTTTTGAATAATAAAGTAGAATGAATACAAATACTAGACAATAAAATTAATTTCAATTATTCACACAAGCCAAGACAAAATAATAGTCGGTTTTGGTATAGGTAATTATACGAAACTTGTAATAATATTAATAATGTTATTAGACCAAAAATTAAAATAAACAACACCAAATGTTTTAAAAATAAATTTTATTACTTACTTGTAATATAATATGACATGGTCGATATAACAACAGTGGCACAAAAAAAAACGGCCGGGACCGAATATTCTCAAACAAAATACATCGTATTTCACGGAAAGAATGCGTCACATTCGCCTTCGTTACTTATCGCCAGTGACTAATCTTTTATGGTGCCTCGACTTCTATCAGGATTTCTAGATTCGCTACAGTGGTTGGAATCTAAACCCGGACTATTAAGTAAGCATAATTACAGGTAGCTAATCACGTACATGTGTGTTGCAGCAAACGACGTCTGATTGACGCGTTTGGTGTCAAATGAAGCGTGCTTAATTAACATGAATTTTAAGCCGTTTTCAAGTTTGTTGGAATGATATCCGAGCCATTAATGAAAAAACGTTTTTTTTCCTCGTGCCGAAATTGCCGAATTTTATAAAAGGACAACGATATTTAGAAATCTTTTTTGCTTTTACTTCGTGGTAACGTGTGCATTTAGGCTTTATCGAGGTGCTTTTATTTATCTAACACCCATACCGTATAATTTCAAGGTAGGCGTTTGACACTTTTTATTACCGTTAGGGGTCTCTTTCCTTGATTTCGATCTCCAAAAGCAATTAAATTTTTGCTTCCGTTCCCGTTTTGGTCCATTATTGTTTTGCCGTGTGCCGTAATTCTGTTTTAGATTATTCGCCGGTGACAGGCCGCCATTTACCCGTACCCTGGAGTAGTGGGTGGGTTCCGAATTTCCACAACCGGAACCGACCGTCCTTGACTAGAAGCAAGTTGTGAAAATCTCCTGGTGGCGCGCGAGGTACTTGTAAGTTCGTCGCAAGTCTGTAAATACTTTTATTTCTTACTCAGTTGTAAAAGTTGATTAACAAAACAAAACGCAAAGGGGTAAACGTCATGTTTAAACGCTACTGACTTGTAAAACTGACAGCTGACCTGTAAAAATTTTACAAGTTAGTAATCTAGTAATTTCATTGGCCAGAATTAATGCAAAGTCTCTGTTACATGGATAACATTATATTTTAGACATTTCTTCGAGATCAATTTAAGAACTAATTATTTACGTTTACTATTTTTACAAATGAGTAACAAATAAAATATTGTACATTATACGCCAGGTAATAGTTTTTACTGGCTCTAGGAGATGACAGTAAAAGAAAATCGTGGACAAACATTCCCCGATCCTAAAAATTCCGAAATAAGTGAGCATTTGCGATGGTAAGTTTAAAGTTTCCAAAATATGCAAGCATCTAAACAGTCTTTCCGAATATGCATTTATATGCATTTCGAATTCCGTAAATTCGGTTCAATCATCAAAAATAATTGTCAATTTCAGAATTTCTTAGTTAAAAGAGGTACTGAAAAAAGTGTCATACAAAAGTGTTTTTATAATAATTGTTGAATAATCGTCCACTTTCAGAATAATTATACGAGGCCAAGTAAAAAAAATTATAGTACCTAACCTCATTTTTTAAATCGAAACGGTGTATATTTTAATCTAAAAAGTATTATACTATATTATTTTTTTAAAAGTATAGGTAACATACCATGGATTATATTGAAGTGATTGAAAAGTGGTTGAAAGCAATTCAACAAAGATGAAAATATTAAAAAAATTCAAATACTGTTCAGGTGATTCAAAAAATCCGAAAAAGATATTTGATTTTTAAATTTTGTTGGCCTTTTTCTGAATCTTGTTTTAATTTTTTGGAAAATTTCTTTTTTGTGTGTTATGTTTCCGAAAAGAGAATTTTTTTAGATTACAGAAGAGTGTTTCTCCGAAGTTCGGCGTGACGTTTATACATTTTTGTACTTTTAAAGGGGCAGTATACCCAAATTTCATGTTTTCGTCTAAAGATAGATTGAAAATATCTAAGAGTAACGGTAAAATCCGCAAGTTGCTACGCCGTTTCGTTATTAAATGGTAAGGTGTCGAATGTAAAAAACGGTCGTTGTGACGTCATCCCGACAAATGGGTCGGTGGCGCGCTATAGCAATATATGGATTCGATGACGTTTGACGTGTTAATTTGAGACTGGTAGTCTGTGATCTGCATTATTTTCAAAAATGCCTAACTTTGTGTTTTCCCCTGCAATAATAATTTGAAAAATGCCAATGTTCCATTGCAAATTTTCCCCTAGAAAAGAAGGAGCCGTGTCGAAATAAAGTCTGGAAAATTAGAAAAAACCGCTGAATCATAGTATAGTCACGTCGTTTGCAGTGTCCACTTTAAAGATGATAATTTTTTTTGGAAGATACAAGAAGGAAAGGACCCTGTACCTCAGCATAAAGTTTAGAGAAGGCTAACATACTGCAATCCCTTCTTTACATCTCACAGGAAACAAAGGCCCTAATAAAGCTACAAAACGCCAGTCAACTTATCTAAGAAAGTAAGATTGTGTCTGATTGCTTATTGTGTGTAAACGATCAATTTCGTAGTGGAGAAACCAGTTCAACATCAAACATATGCCAATATCCAATCTGAGCTGGGTACAGAAATTTATTACAAATATTCAAATTTATATGAGGATATATGTTCGGATGATACTTCAGTAAGGTTTTCTTGTTTTTTTCAAAGGAAAGCGAACTAGAATATGAAAGAACTGACGCGTTTGGACTGCTTGGATCCGTGCCGCCGCACCGACGATGTCGGGATGACGTCACATGTTCTGTTTTTCAAACTTTCATCGTTAATAATTTGAAAACTACTCATCGTAGAAAACTCCGGTTTGAAATTTTGTTCTTAGATTTTCTTCTACAATTTTTTTGATTTTGGGTATACTACCCCTTTAAGTGGGTGATACTAGGCACCCAGGTCATTTACAAAGAGACCTTATATTTATTTGTAATCACATCAGCACCATCCACTCAAGCAAAACTTCTAAAAGGTAACCAACTCAAATTAAATAATAACAGATATAAAAATTAAAATGTGTCAAATACGGTTAAATTTAGGTATAGTTCATTATACATGAAATGTATACTGGATATTACGTAAAATAATCAGGTTGTTATCAACTTCCGACATGACCGGAAGTGCAGCCAACTGGAAAAATTTTAAATGAATTCCTCTTATTGATTGTTTTTGATTGATTTTTAAAAAAATTTCAGCGTCAAAACAAAAAAGCTATATTTATTGGCCGTGATAAAGTATGTGATTTCAGACCGTTTAAGCTAGAAAAAATGACAACGAAATTTGACATTTCAAGTTTTTCGGTGATATCTCAGTTATTTTCAAAGATTTTGGAATGTCCCAAAGGGGACACCTTTCTTCCTCTCTCACCGTCACAGAGATCCGAATGGTTAACCACAAATTCGAACCACCCTGTACAATAACATTTTGATTGAACCGGGCATTATTCTATGAGTGTCGGCTTTTTTAAAGGCTCCGAAATTTTCAAAAACAATTTTTCCACATATCAGCTGGTTTTCCGAATGCCTGTGCAAAACCGCCATTACGTTCACCATGCCTTCCCAAATACGTTGTGCGAATTTCACTGTGCGCTACTACCTTTCATGAATTCAACCGTCACTGGTGCTGGTTAAGGATGCCCAATCTGACGAACAGGGTACTCACCTATAACAAAAAGAAATATTGTTTAATATAATATTTATAATAATCATATTATATAATACAGTCCCTGTACTGGAGTGATGATTTGTCTTACGTAACAGAATGAAATACATACAGGAGAATCAGAAAAACTGGGTAGAAATCACCGTATTCTGGACGGGGTTTTTTAGACGCCATTTTCAAAATGACCGACACCAATTTTACTTGGTATATATATATTCTGCTGCTGTGACAGTTATACTCATTATTAAGGTGTCTAAATGTATGTTTTCAAGGGCAAGGAATCGATTACGATGGTCTATGAAGCTGCCTGAATGCTATTTATTACAGAAAAATAGTACTAAAGGTTTTACAGGAGTTCGCTTTATAGGGCTTCATTTAAACACTGTCCTACATTACTGTAATATGTATGCTGATGAATGTTAGAAACTGGAATGTTCATTTCCTAAAGTTTTTCTTACAGGTAAACTAAATCGATGAAAATGGATGATCATCAAAAGATGGGAATGTGACTGGCAACTGTTCACCAAGAATGACCAACTGTTTTATTTTACGTGAAGAAGTTATTGTCAGGCTGTAGACAGTAACAGTAGTAACATTTGTCCGGACCCCAATATTCAGAGACGGCAGTAATAATAGCATACATAGAAAATGAAATTATCTACACTCAATTAATTCCGGTCTCACATCCCCAACGTAACCACTACTCTTTATAAACCACGGGATGAATAATCTGTAGAGTGCATTTAGTTGCATAAGCATAATGTTCGCTAGATAACAAACTATAGTAATGCACGAAGGGTGTAACCCTTGTAACGGTTGTTGTCCGACCCAAACCTAAAAGTTGCAAGCACACACACAAGGGATTACTGTGTAGTGTGATATCTCTTGTACTGAACCTCATCCATATTTTTATTGTACCCTCATGTGAAACATTTTCAACCATCTTACACTTTTTACAGTAGGTATTTATGACACAGAGTTATATCCCTGTAGACAAAAAAGTGTCAATTTATTAATCCCTGGAATGTAAAACAATTACACGCACATTTGAATACCAAAATAGTATAGGACCATGTACATTGTACGTATACATTGTAAGTATCGTAGGCCTCGATACAATTCGATTCATTTTCGACATTTGTTTAGATCACCTTATCTGTATGCCGATATGCCAAATGGACGCTACCAGCTATCACGGTTGTGGTACCCACAAACATTTCATGTTTTTGTATACAATTCGTTTGCTTATCATTTGCTGACGTTCGTTTAGCCATTTTCGAAGATTGCTTAGGCCTCTTTGGATGCCACCTCAATATTCATCAGCTTCACGAAAATGGCATCAACGCTAAATTTAATTGCTTTCAACGAAAATGCACATTTGGTCCTAATAACGGGATATACTGCAAGGAAAAACAAAAGTCAAAATTTTGTTTGTAAACATCCTGTATTATATGTTGTAAAATTCTTCCGTTAGATGCCGCATGTTGTCTATATTCTTTCAAATTAAACTTCTTCTTATTTCCCTCCTTGCTTTGTGGCGTTCATTGTCCCTATAAAAGTATGATTTTGTAATTCAAAGGGGCACTTTTTCCCAGACCTGACTGGAACACGATTATCGTGTATCCTCCGCGAGTGCCGACAAGACAACTGGCTCATATAAGAGGCCGTTTTCCGAAATTCTTAGATTTCCATAGAATACCTACCTGTACCCCGTTATAAATAATTGTAGCCAATTGATCAAGACGAACCTGGCCGGGGCAGATTTACTTCACCACCAGTACCAGAGGGAACAAATAAAACACGGGGGAGATTTTATTCAACCGACAGCAGCCTCCGTTCTGGCTTTGACAGCTTTGTTAACATTTTAACACTTGGCAGTGACTCCGTTAACGCTTACCACGGGAACTGATCTTAAGTCATAATAATTATAAAATAATTTTGTTTAATTAAGCCGAATTAAGCAATTCGACATTTTATTTATCAAGTTAGAGTTGTTTGTCGTCGAGTTTGCGTGTTAAAGAAAACCAAAGAAGCTGTCAGCATTTGTGTGTGAAGATACATACGCCTTCTTTGTCGCAAACCTTTGTACGACCAGATTATTACGATCTTTGAAAAGAAAAAACTAAGTAACTTTTAGATTTTCTTATTTTATTTGTCGCACGCTTGCGTGCGGTGTAATTTGTCCCAACAAACTTGGTGAGATGTTCTTTCTTTCATGAATTTTGTTATAATTTATAATAATATAATAATAATAATAATTTTTCATTTCATGAGTGTTTAAAATCAATGTTTGTAATTGTCAATCAATTAGGTAGTTATTCGTATCCTTTGTGCGACCCGGATGGAGTTTTCATGCCAGATTTTTCTTCTCTCGTGTCCAAGAATTGTGTCAGCTGTAGTTAATTTTTTGAAACGCTTCGCGTCGTGCCATTAAACTCGTTGCGCGTGCTTTAAATACTTGATTATACACTACTTGTATCTTAATATACTATTTCTACTTATCCATGAATCTTACGCCCTCTGGCGGCAAGCCTAGAAATTTGAAAATAATTTCCAGCGGATTCTCCTGGCCTTTCTGTTTTTAACAAAATCTGTTTCAAGGGTTCCATGGATATGGCCTGATGTGACACCCTGTACGTGTAACTAGTATGCTGAGCGCCCGTTTATCATAAAAGTGATCACATTTGATTACCTACGATCCACGTGTAAACGTTCATAAAATGAAAATATTTTGCACGTTTATTGTAATATTATTTTAAACTGATTTATTTTCAGTTTCTAAACTATTTCTTATTTAATTTTTCCATTACTTCTGTTTCTGTGCGTCATATACGTTCACCCCTTGCATCTGGTCGTAAATTTAGTAATACTGCGACAGCGTCCGAGTTTGATCTTATGAACAGAGCAAGTCACTTAACAATTAATAAAACTGGACAGTGAAGTGAACATCCGGACATGCGAGTATTTCTACTAGAAGCGCCTGAAAAGTCGATAAAATTAATGAAATACGTTCCTCGGTTAGAAGCATAAAACGACCATTACCTCGAGCGATCACATCCTTTAAACTGAAAACCGTATCACTATAACCGTTCAACGCTCTTTCATTTCTCTGCAAATCGTGCCTGGTTATTAGCATTCCACGCAAGTGCCATTAATTGGAAAAACTTTTGGCATCGCCCGATTGTTTGTAGCAAGCATAACTCAAACGCGCAGTTACCCGTAGGTGCCTGACACGATCAACTTTTGACTTAAAAATTAAAGAGCTTTCAAAAATTTCCGAAACACTTTGGCTTAAAGTTTTTTCGCTATAAAGTGGTCTTTCCAAAGGCGCTTTTTAATCCTGGATAAAATATCTCTTTGTACAATTTCAATTTATTTTTCTTTCAGGGTAACTTAAAAGAGACGTCTCGAACCTTTTATTTATTTTATTAGATGTAAGTATATAATGTACCCCTTAGGTCACACTTGAATCGATACGAAGCTAATAACATGTAAATAAAATCGAAATCAACCCTTCCTTTCTTAGAACAGAGTGCCTATACGTGTATCAAGACGATATCAAAAGCAAGTGGATGGTATTCAAACGTGGAGTTTATTTATGTTTATTCAGCTAGATTCGAGCGTTCTCATCGCACACTGCTTGGATTAATTATTCAGTTTTAAAGGACGGGTTAAATTGGCACCCCTTAATCGACACCCCAATTTGTTACATCACTAAAATATTACGCTCATTTGTGTACGCTGAGAAAATCAAAATTTTCCATTGGGGGTCCAACTTAATGATGGACCACCATCATTCTCCTCTCTAATACCACAGTTTGGTGCTCGTGTTGTGCTGATTTGTGCGCCAATATTCAGGTTTTGTGCGTTTTTCCTTTCGGAGTAATTCGACA